CACCTTCCGGAGACAAGTTGTTCCACTGGTTGTTTGTCTCTTCGATTAGTTTCCATCCATTGCTTCTTGTCTTGCCTTCAGGTGCTTTGGAGAATAGCTTGACTCCCTCTTCTTTGTGGCAACCCCTGAAATATTGGGACACTGCTATCATGTCACCCCTCGTCCTTCTCTTCATTAAACTAGAAATATCCAATTCCAGCAGCCATTCTTTATATGTTTTAGCCTCCAGTCCCCTAATCATCTTTGTTGCTCTTCTCTGTACTCTTTCTAGAGTCTCAACTTCTTTTTTACATCGTGGTGACCAAAACTGGATGCAATATTCCAAGTGTGGCCTTACGAAGGCGTTATAAAATGGTATTAACACTTCACGTGATCTTGATTCTATTCCTCTGTTAATGCAGCCCAACACCATGTTGGTTTTTTTGGCAGCTGCAGCACACTGCTGGCTCATATTTAAGTGACTGTCCACTAGGATTCCAAGATCCTTCTCACAGTTACTACTATTGAGCAAGGTACCACCTATACTGTACCTGTGCATTTAGGGTTTTTTTTGCCTAAATGTAGAACTTTACTTTTTTCACCATTACATTTCATTTTGTTAGATAGTGCCCAATGTTCAAGTCTGTCAAGATTCTTCTGTATCTTAAGCCTATCTTCTGGAGTGCTGGCTATTCCTGCCAGCTTGGTGTCGTCTGCAAATTTGATGAGTTCCCCATCTATCCCCTCATCCAAATCATTGATAAAGATGTTGAAGAGCACTGAGTCCAGAACAGAGCCCTGGGGCACCCCACTACTCACTTCCCATCATGTAGATGCAGTTCCATTGAGGACCACACACTGAGTGCAGCGGTCAGCCAGCTACGAATCCATCTGATGGTGATGCTGTCTAACCCACATTTTTCTATCTTATCAAGTAGTAGGTTGTGGTCTACTTTATCAAATGCCTTACTGAAGTCCAAGTAAGTTATATCCACAACATTCCTCTGGTCCACTAATTTTGTCACCTGGTCAAAGAATGCAATAAAATTTGTCTGGCATGATCTGTTTTTGACAAATTTATATTGGCTTTTGGTAATGACTTTGTTTGCCTCTAGGTGTTCACTGATTTGTTGCTTGATTATATTTTTCAGAATCTTCCCAGGTATTGAGGTCAGGCTGATAGGTCAGTAGTTTCCTGGATCCATTTTTCCCGTTTTGAAGATGGGTACTACTACATCAGCTCTTTTCAAGTCCTCTGGTAGTTCCCCAGTGCTCCAGGATCTTTGAAAGATATAGTTCAGTTATTCTGAAATCACACCTGCCAGTTCCTTCAGAACCTTGGGTTGTAATCCATCTGGTCCTGGTGATTGGAACTCATCTAGGCTGGACAGGTGCTCATTTACCATTTTCTTGTCTATCTTAACTTGTGTTTCTAAATCTGTTTTTTATAGTACTGTTTTTGATAGGTTGGACTGTTTTTTCCCTTTGTGTAAAGATGGATGCAAAAAACAAGTTAAGTAGTTCTGCTTTCTCCCTGTTGCTTGTCACTTCTTGCCACTTTCTCCCACATCATATTCTCTTTGGGTTTTTTCCTTTCCAGGTTCAGTAGTTTAGCAAATTATCTTTGTAAATCCAAAATAAGAAAAGCTTTCCAAATCATTTTTCTGATTTATTATTTGTATGTCCTCTTTAGTTATTAAGACATTGGCTGGTTCAAATGTATGTCTATTGTGGTAGCATTTTCCATACCACTCTTGTAGTCTGACACTTTTACATCCATTTTCATCTCCACATTCAAATTAGTCTGTTTTATCTAACAAAATCTGTTCTTTTTCTATAGCCACTTTTATATCCATTTTTATAATATCAAACAATATTGTAAGTAAATTCTGGGTATATTGTTCCCAAACAGCCTTAATTTCTTCTATTGTCAAATAATATTGTTTTACGGTATTTAATGGTCATCTTCTCTTTTAATTGCAGTCTTTAGTTCTCTCTGTTCCCTCTAGTCAATCTGCAAAGTTCCCTGTTATATGTTTATTTTCCAATCAACAAAACGTTCTCACAGAAGGATTTCTTACAATTAATTTTAAAATCTTAAAATATTCTTTTATAAAATGTTAAACATCCCATAGGAAATATTCCTTCAAATCCATTTAGTCCTTTAACTTGCCAAAATCAACATTTTCATCCCCGTTTTGCTATTGGTTCAAAAATTTAGTTTTTCTTTTTAATCTTTAAAGTTACACAAAATGTCCTTCATCTAGAGTAGAAGGAAACTCTCCTGGCATGATGGATATTGTTCTCAGAGGTTCTTAAGAACCAGAAAATCATTAGTAAGCAACTTCCTAAAGTATTTGAAGTAGGAGAATTCAGTGTCCATTTGAAGGTGCTGAACCACAACCTAGGCAGGATGATTTCTCCCCCACCCCCAAACGAGCTCTCAAATCCTTTGGAGATCACAATTTTACAATTTCTTTGCAGAGGGGCTCTGAATGGAGCAAAGATATAGATAATCCTAGCAATCTCTTTGATCTTGAGAGATGTTCCACTGGCTCCCCTTTTTCCCATGGCCATTTGCTCTACTCTTGAAGTGCCATCTTCAATCTGCCATTGCTCACTGGAAGTCTCCATTTTTTCTTTTCTTCCTTAGGTCTTTTTCTTAAACTATGAATATGTGGAATATATTAAGACCAAAATATATATCTCTTGCTTTATTGTCATATTGCTGGATTCTTCTGTTTTCAAACTTTATTTTTTGCCAATTCATCAAGTGCTCTTCACCATCTTCATCAACGATTTGGACAAGGGGATAGATGGGGAACTCATCAAATTTGCAGATGACACCAAGCTGGCAGGAATAGCCAACACTCCAGAAGACAGGCTTAGGATACAGGAGGACCTGGACAGACTTGAACACTGGGTGCTATCTAACAAACTGAAATTCAATGGTGAAAAAAGTAAGGTTCTACATTTAGGCAAAAAAACCCAAATGTACAGGTATAGTATAGTGGGTACCTTGCTCTGTAACTGTGAGAGGGATCTCAGAGTCCTAGTGGATAATCACTTAAATATGAGCCAGCAGTGTGCTGCAGCTGCCAAAAAACCCAACACAGGGCTGGGCTGCATTAACAGGGGGATAGAATCAAGATCACGTGAAGTATTAATATCACTTTACAATGCCTTGGTAAGGCCACACTTGGAATACTGCATCCAGTTTTGGTCACCACAATGTAAAAAAGATGTTGAGACTCTAGAAAGAGTACAGAGAAGAGCAACAAAGATGATTAGGGGACTGGAGGCTAAAACATATAAGGAACGGTTGCTGGAATTGGGTATGTCTAGTTTAACGAAGAGAAGGGTGAGGGGGGACACGATAGCAATGTTCCAATATCTCAGGGGCTGCCACAAAGAAGAGGGAGTCAAGCTATTCTCCAAAGCGCCTGAAGGCAGGACAAGAAGCAACGGATGGAAGCTAATCAAGGATAGAAGCAACCTAGAACTAAGGAGAAACTTCCTGGTTAAATAATTAACCAGTGGAACAACCTGCCTCCAGAAGCGGTGAATGCTCCAACACTGGAAGTTTTTAAGAAGAGACTGGACAGCCATTTGTGTAGGGTTTCCTGCGTGAGCAAGGAGTTGGACTCGATGACCTCCAAGGTGCCTTCCAACTTTATTATTATTATTATTATTATTATTATTATTATTATTATTATTATTATTAATTATTATTATTATTATTATTATTATTATTATTTTGATACAAAATATAGAATTTTACATTTTAGTTGCAATTGTTGCAAGAAAAATCAAAGCAATTAGTAAACATAATTATCATCTAAGTTATGCATTTGAGCAGCATACTAAACAACTGTATGAGCCACACAAAACAAAGATAATCTATGTAATATTTCTAAAATAGCAAAGTGGACTTAGTTCAATAAAGGGTGCTTTGAAAACAAATAGTTCATACTCATTTCTCCCAAATGCTTTTTTTTTCCTGGAAAGAGATGTGCAACAAAGGCCACATTTGCACATAGGTCTCATTTGAACCCATTGTATTGTGTATGCTATTATCTGCTGACACAGCTCTTTGCGTGAAGATAATTTATACTGTATTTCTATAAATATATACACTGTTATAGGCTGTGCTAATATGATAGCATCTGCTTCCAAACATCTGTTATTTTAACAGCACAAATATGGAGTTTGTATAAAGCCCTGGAGGAAGTTTTTAAAATTAGATTCAAAATCTTAAAACTACTCTACATGCCAAGCTGGATCCTGACACATCATGAAATAAAGATTATGCAACATCAGATTGTTTTCGATTCCTAGTGATCACACACGTGCAATAAAAAAGTACAGAGTCTCCTTCCTAGATACATCCACGTAGAGTTTTCTCTTTTTTTAGCAAAAACGTAGAAATAGTTTGTCATCATCTTCTTCTAGGATGTTTTTTCAACTTCCCCATCTAGCCAACAGCCCTGCTATTCACTGAAGATCTAGTCTGATCTGATCCTGTTTAATTCCTGAACCAAATTAATGTTAACCAGGTATTACCACCTGCTGAAACAGAATAATAGAGCTGAAAATAAAGATGTATTTATAGAAGAGACGGGGCATAGTCTGCATATAAATGAGGGGAATGACTCTTAATACTTTGCCATACTGCTCTTGAGATAACTAAATTTAATTGTTGGCTAGGAAAACATTATCAAGTTCAAATCTAGTACGATTATGCAGTTATTTGTTTGCAGCTCCCAAAATATCTCTATATGTTTGCTGCCCAATTACAATATTTATAAAATGAAAAAATTACTGAATATGTTGCAATCTATCTGGTTGAAAATTTTCTTGGTGGGAATGTTCATCTGTTTAAAGGAGTTCAAAGTAGCTTACACGGGAAACTAATACAGGGATGTCCCAGAAAGGATCTGAAGTTCCACACTCACATTTCTCAATCTTATTTGTAACACTTCACCATAGAGTCTCAACTCTTTAATTTTCCTTTTTCTCACCTGAAAAAAGTGTGATGTTCAATGCAAACCTTCCAGAGTCTCTTAGCTGAGCGATGGTTGGGCAGCTTGAAACCAATGGTGCTCTCAAACTGCTCATACTGAAAACACAGAAAAAGACAAAACCAAGAATCATCAGTCAACCACAAACTGTGCAACAAGGAATACCATGAGGCTCTCTGTGCTCCTCCACACACATGCTCATATCCATGTGTTTTCTTCTTGCCCCCAAGATGGGAAGAAAGATGTCATTACCTAAACCACTGTCCTAAATGCAGTGCATTCACTACACCTCTGTGGAGAACTGGACAAATTTGCTGCCAAGAGAACAGAAACTGATTGGGGTAGAGGCTGCAGAACCCAGAAAAACAATGGAACCAAAGAGACTGACAATAGCAAGTAAGTGGGATGCAGAGAAAAAGTAAAAAGGTCAGTAAAATAGTCTAGTTCTCCCCGTGGTGGACAAATAAGATGAAAACAGAGTTCTTCTAGGACTTTCACAACTCCTCTCAGTTCCTTATTTTCCTTTGAAGGAGGGGGAAACTGAAGCCTATCACAAATATAATGAACCAACACTGTGGAAGGGTGGCTTCCTTTAAGTCCCAAAAGGACAGCAGGCTGATCAGTTTGTCCTTCTGTTTAGGATTCCTGCTGCTCCCTACAACTTTGGATTCTTTTGCTGCCTAGGGAATGGAGTTTTGAACATGATGAGCTCTATAAACAATTATATAACTGACCTAATTTCTTGCAAACTACTGACAAGTGTTTCTCCAATGTGAATATCAATGTCATGGCTATTCCCACCATTCCAAAAGGTGGAAATTATTTGCTAGGCATCCAATCTTTATGTCAACCACCACAGAACAAGCCCAGCAACTGGATGAGAGGAACACTTCTGCTGTAGGCCAATTGAAGACCGCAGGCACCAGTGAGGTGCTGCTTCAACATAAATCAGAATGTTTACTGAAGAAGGACCATAAGGTAATCTTTCCATAAGATCACCTTAATCAGGCTTCAGCTTACATTAGTAGCAGGCTATTACTGAGATAGAGGCTCTCTTGAAAGGATCTACTCTCCGAAAAAGTAAGCCTCTAAGCCAGGGTGTCAAACTCGCAACGTCACGTGATGTGTCATGACGTATCGTGACTTTTTCCCCATTGCCGGAGCTGGGGTGGAGCTTTCGGCATGATGCATCCAGCCCACAGGCTGGCAGTTTGACACCCCTGCTCTAAGCACTAGGGCAAGGAAAGTGTATAGATGAGCTCTCTGAAATACAGAAAGCCTGATGTAGTTTTAGTCTTCATATGATCACTTTTTACTATTTTTTTTGAGGTTAATTACTCCTGCCCGATATAAAGTAAATCACAAAAGCCGGAGTGGCTGGCATTGTTCCATTATGCCCAATACAACTGACACAAGAACCTTTTCTTCAAAATGATAATCTGCATAATGAACTCAAAAGGAAGGGAAGAAAGAGCTCCTCAGTCTCAACCAGGAAAGCAGATATTACAGGATGAAAAGGAATTCAGAGGAACTTTTATAGTTTTTTTTTCTCCTATGTTTGGTACAAATTAAGGAAAAAAATATTTTTATCCTGAATCCCTCCCATATGTAGAAAACATGGGCAACAGGGAGATTAATTTTTCATTCTACACTATGCTTAAAAAACCAGAGGCATAAGCAATGGCACCCACAACTAATGACTTGCTATTAAGCCAATTTGAAATCTGCTGACATAGATGATAAAAAAAATTATTCAGATTATCAACCAGATTTGTTTTTTATTTAATAGAAAATGCTAAATATGTCCTTTTTTTCTTTTATTCTCTCCTTCTTAAAAAAAAATCTTTCTTCTTTTTTGTGGAAATGCTTACCTCACCAGGTCGAATTTTGATGTAGAAGTTACTTCTTTTGTATGAAATCTTGAGAATCTTAGGCCAGGCAAAACGGTTTATTCTTAGCCTGTCCCTATATATGAGAAGGCCATTGGCACAAACACCCAGCATGATGTCAATGCCTTCTGAATCCTGGGCAAAAGAGGAAAACATTAATACACAGAAATCTGCCAGTACAAAGCATTTTTAAACAGGCAAAAAAACCAAGGTTAATGCATCTAAGAGTAAGGACAAATCAACACATTTCCCACTTAAATACCAAGCGGACCACAATTTACTCCCATCTAAGTTAGTATTATCGTATATTAAAAACTAGAGAAAGAAAATACTAGCTGATCCTTAAAAGGTTTGAGAGCTGTGGATTGTACCAAGAACACTAAAACATACAAAAAATGGTTGTTGGAATTGTGTATATCTAATTTAATGAAAAGAAGTACTAGGGGTGCCATGATAGCACCAATATTTGAGGGGCCGCCACAAAGAAGAGGGAGTCAAGCTGTACTCCAAAGCACTTGAAGGCAGGACAAGAAGCAAATGATGGAACTAACCAAAGAGAGAAGCAACCTAGAACTAAGGAGAAATTTCCTGACAGTTAGAACAATTAATCAGTGGAACAACTTGCCTCCGGAAGTTGTGAATGCTCCAACACTGGATGTTTTAAGAAGAAAGTGGACAACCATTTGTCTGAAATGGTATAGAGTTTCCTGCCTGAGTGGGGGATTGGAGTAGAAGACTTCCAAGGTCCATTCCATTCCATTCCACTCAACTCAACTCCACTCTACTCTACTCTATTCTGGAAAAAATATCAGGGATATCTTAGGCTGGAAATATTTCTTTGGAATAGGGCATTAAACTGCTTGACATATATTTTTTTTTATAATTTCAAATGCTTGCAGCTTTATGTGGCTGTTTCTTTTCATTTCCAGACATAGCTGCACAGTTCCACTAACTACAATGCTCCACTAAAGCAGCTTCCCCACCACAAGATTTTTTTCCCCAAGTGTGTATAAATCTTAATCTCACTAATGGGAAATGGCTTCAAAATTAACTTCTTTGTTGCAGAGCAAAATATAAGGGAATAATGCAATAACTAATACAGAAAGAAAAGGAGAAAAATCTAAGGAACAGAGAGGACAGGAAGTATAAAATATGCAAAAAATAAATAAACAGATTCCATAATGGGGCTTCTTCAAATAAGTATAATATGTTTCTAGGTTCCTCTTTAAATCTTGCATAAAATAAAATTTCCACTTTTCATTCCATTCTTACTAAAAATATTCCACAGCATGGTTGCAAAATACCGTGACCTTTTTAAAACAAAATTCAATTTCTAAATTATTGTCCTTAAATATCAAAATAGCTATCTGTATGATAGCAACCATACAATTTAATTTTAAATGAAGCAATATCTTCTACAGAATTTGTCACAAGACGAAGTAATATTTTATGTTTAAGCACAGTATCTCAAATGAAAGAACACATAGTTATAAGTGGATGCTACATAATTTAAGCAAGTCTTTTTTAAAAAAGGAATAAATATTGCTTCAGAAAAATCCAGGATTTCTCTCACTTATATGCCCTCAAAACTCCATCTTTTCACTAAGAATACCTTAGCATGATGCAAGTCAACTCCATACATTGAAAGTTTCTTGGCATTCTCCAGGAAGTGAATCTCTGCCTCTCCAGGTGTCATGCCCCTTTAGAGATAAAATAAGACAGAAACAAAAGTAATAAATAAGAAAATTAAACACTGATGAGCAAAAGGCTGACATTTGTTTAAAAGGATTTTTTATGATAAATATAGGAAAGTATAGGCTATGCAAATCTTTCTAAAACTTGTTTGCTCTTGAATTAGCAGTAGTAGGTAAAAATATATTCACCGGTAAGTCTTATGTAGCTCCATAATACGCTCTTCCAATTCTCTGGTCTGATTTGGAGCAAAAC